GGCACAGGGGGGGTCCCCGTTCCGCACCTTCCGTAGACGCTGTGCGGCGCCAAGGCCGCCAGGAGGCGCCACCACCACGACGGAGTTTCCGAGCGCCAGCGCCGGGGGGAGGAGCTCCAGCGCCAGGGGGCGGGGCCAGCCCCAGGCCACGCCCAGCACTCCCAGCGGCCGCCTCGTCAGCAGGCCCCGCCCCCCGGGCACCTCCTGCAGCGGGATTGGCCGTGCCCAGTCAGGGGCCACGCCCTCGAGCTGAAACACACGCCCCCTTTTTTCGCCACGCCCACCTGCACGGCCCCGCCCGCGCGCTCGGCTCGCTCCGCCCAGCGCAGCAGCGCCCCCTGCAGGCTCCGGTCGCTGTCGCCGCTGTCGCCGCTGTCGCCGTCCCCGGGGGTCCCGGCTCCCCCCGCCAGCGCCGCCGCCGCCCCCCGCAGCACCCGGGCCCGCGACGCCCCCGGCAGCCGCCCCCACCTGCGGCAGTCGGGGGCGTTGGGGACCGACCCCTCCTCCCCGAGGGGACACCCCCGGAGGGGTCACCCCCCGCCCCCGCACTCACCCCGGGGCGGCCCCGCGGGCGGCGGCCACGGCCTGGGCCAGCTCGGGATCGCCGGGGTCATCCACGGTCACCGGCGGGCTGGGGCGGGGACACAGACAGGGGTCAAAGGGCACGGCGGGGGGGGCACCGGGACCCCCTGGAGAGGAAGAGTCGGGGTCCTGAGGGGCACACGGGACCCTCGGGGGGGCAGGATGGGGCTGGGACCCCCCGGGGTCCTGGGGGTCTTAAACCGGGGTCCCAATGGAGTCCCGGTCTGAGTTCTCAGCCCTGGGATCCCCCCAGTTTGGGGTCTCCATCCTGGGGAGGGGTCTCTGTCCCATCAGGGGGTACCTGAGCGGCTCATCCACCTTGGGGGGCTCTTCCCAGGGGGGGCACCCGAATTCTCGCAGCGCCTGGAGGGAGGTGGGGGGGGGGGGAGACAAAACGGGGGTCCCCAGGAGGTGGGGAGCCTCGGAGAGACACCCCAAACTGCCCCCGGGGGTCCCCAGAGCCCCCCAAGACCCCCAGAGTAACCCTGGAACCCCCAAAGCCCCCCAGAAAACACCCCGAATTCCCCTCCA